GAAGCTGAGGATGCAGGAGGGTCTGTCAAATAAACATGTTCAGTTATGTCAACAGTTTAGATATCTTCAGATAAGGAATGTGGGGAATGCCTCGTCTTCTTTATCATGTGACAGTACTACTGGTGATATGGGTTCACAGGTAAGCCACACCAGAGTCCCACCACTCCCCCAAGCAAAAACTTTAATTTCTTTGGATGCTAAATAGAATGTCATTCAAATCCAGAGCTTCATATTGTATATATTATTCATAAAAGTAGACCTGTAACTGTGCACACTGGCTTAAAATTTTAATATAGTAGCCTTTAGTAACAAAGGTATAAAACTACTAAATAAAAAACTATTAAATAAAGCAAGTCAGCTTAAGGATCAAGTGAGACTAAGGCTAGGTACAGACATTCAAAAAGCCAGAGGCAGAATCGATCTAAGTTTCACACTTTACCCTAAGCACCCTAAGCTAGGTCAGGAGCTATCAGAACAGATGTTCACCCTTTCATAGGAGGGGGCATGCAGGCTGCCTGCACTGGCTGGGGGCACTCCTCCCTGCTTCCTAGCAGGCTGCTAAAAATGCCGAGCCCATCTGAGCAGCCAGCCACCTCTGATTGGCCAGCATGACCCATTTTCCCCATCCCTGCCCCCCCCCCCACCAACAGCTGGCTATCAGCAGTGGTGGGGGGAGAGTGGAGGCCCCCACTTTGGCCCTCCCAGACTTGAACCAGCACAGCTGGGGGGCTGGTGTGGCTGGGACTTCTGCTCCATGTATGCCTCCGTGTGAGAAGGGGAGAGCAGGAGCTCTCAAAAGCACTTGGGATGCCAGCTGACTATGACCTAACTTGAGTCCTTAGAGGATTTGGTACAGAAGTTTGATAGACTGGATTAACCTAAATCACTTAAGTTTGATACCACATTGATCCAGGTCTGTCTTAGACCGGGTTCTGCCATTTTTAGACCAGTCTATGGACAGTAGACTTCTGTTCGGTTGTGGGTGTAGACCAGTTTCCGAGTACTTTTACCAGGTTATGTGTAATGTCTGTACCTGGCCTGAATGTAATGACTGAACTCAGATCATACCCAGTTTATATTACAAGCTTTGACCTTCTTGCAGTTTAATAGCAACCTAAGTAAGGAGTAAATTGTGAGCCTATTTAGTCCTATTGGTGACTGGCGGGTGCAAGCAAACATTTGCCGTACCTGGTCTAGGTTTAGGTGATTTACTTTAAGCTGCCTAAACCTAGACCAGGAGTGCAGTCATTTACTGCTGCCAGGAGCAGTGTGGGGAGCCTTAGGTAAACTGGTCAGGGTGGGCAGAGGGGCTGGCAGGATTGAGGGGGACTAGGATTCCTGGGGAGGAGGATTGGCAGGTCCAGGAGGGCCTGGGATATATACTGGGTTTGAGGGGTCAAGTTGGATGGTGGGTCCATGGGGAGTATGTTGCTTAGTTGGGGGTGGGCAGGAAAAGGAGGGAACGAACAGCACAGCCCTGGAATTGAAGTGAGTGGCTGGGCTTTCCTAACCCTGGCTCTGTGCTGTGAATGTGTAGTTTCATAGTTTCATAGTTTCTAGGGTCGGAAGGGACCTGAGCAGATCATCTAGTCCG